CCCCCCCCCACCGACGCATGAATGACGTCATTTATGGATGGCCCTTATACAATTTTACTTAAATAATGTTTTTCCAGTGGCGTAGTCAGGGGGACCGCAACAGATGTCACCATCTCGGGGGGGGGGGGCTGACACCAAATTTAAAAAAATTGCATATTTACAGAGCAAACACTGCTCGGCCCCACAGAATTTCATAAAATGATAACCTATCAAAGGTCATTTTTACATACATGTAAGTTACTTGATGTAACCAATCTAAAGTGCAAGGTTGATGCTTCAGAAATGAGGTGAAACCTATAATTAGGTTGGAGAAACACCGTTTTGATGAGAATTACGCCGATTAAGTGTTCGGTAACTTTCGTAAGTGACACTCTTTTGCCTTAAATGCTTCATGTATAACGTTTTTCGATAATCTTGAAACAATTTTTTTCATTCTCTGCTGCATCCACTCATCGATGGGATATTTTAATTGAAGACACTGCAATGTCGGTGAAAGGGTTGTCAAAACACGTTGGAGTGCTCATCATGCTGCTGTTAAACAATGAAAGATACGTTTTATGAATGTGTGGGGAACGAATGAAACCATATGTGATTCTCTTGAAAATTTGGATACAGGAGGTACCTACATCACAAGGTCTTTTACACGCTGTCTGTGATATCACGTTTCTCTGCTACTTGAGGAAGCTAATCTTATGCAGCAGTATCTGCAGACTAAAGGCTTTACTCTTGACAAAGTGATGACCAGCCTTAAGATTATTTCTGCACGAGATCAACGATCAAGTGATTGACAGGTTTGCTGCTTTGAAGCAAGAAAAGGTAAATTTCAAATAAAGTAAATTTATGGTAAAAATAACTAACTATAACTTAACGTTGTTACAGTTCTTAAATACATTTACCTCTTGACCTTCAAATGATTTGTTTTTGTTCTTGTTATTTTTATACTGTGTATTTACTTTAACAAGAAGAAATCCATCGGGCAAGTCGGAAGGGGGGGGGGGGTTGGAGGGTGACACCATGAGTTTGCCGCACCGGGTGACATCAACACTAGCTACGCCACGGGGTTTATCATAATAAATAGTTCTTCTTAAACATAGGGTAACATTATATAATTAAATCCCATGCAATTGTTGGGTCATAAAAATTTATTTTTGATTACAATTTTAAAAAAAAAAAGTTTTTTTTTGTTTTTTTTAAATAATGTAATTTAAGGGGGAGGGACTGCAATCTGGTTAAAAAATGGAAATTAGCGAAACAATCTATAGGAAGACCTGGAAAAAAACCGCAACAAAACAACGAACTTTTCCCAAGAATTCCTTTATTACTGTTTTTGTTCGCTGATGAAGGGTTCTTGGTGACATGTTCGTTGTTGTGCATGCTTTATTTTTTTCAGGTGTTCCCATTCTTCGTTTCGCTCATTTCCATGTTTTTGATTAATCGTTTGTTTACAATTTACGAATGATCTGTATTATATTTTGGTAATTCAGACTTACACTGAAGTTTCCTGTCTCTTTACATATTTGTGCCTAGTAAATTTGTTGAGTGTTCACAAATAACATAGTTAATTAATCATTGCAAATTTTTAATTTATTATCTTATTTAAAGTTCCTTCTTATCTGTAGTGTGTGGTTCTCCAGAACTCCAGCTTAGAACTCGAGATTTGAAGAAGTAGGAGGAGTAATCGATAATTGTCCGATAATGAATTATGTTCTTTATTAATGACTAATACTAATACTAATAATGCCATCATGATCCATGAATAATAAACGGCCTTGTTTTATTAACTGACAGTAAATTATTGTATTAAAATAATGATAATTATAAATAAATTTCATTACGTCAATCATCAATGAGTGTCAGTCACTGTGGGGCAGCAGGCTGCAGCTAAAGGCTAAAGACTTTACAATCGGCGCAATGACGTCATATACATCCCATTACGTCATTTACGTGTTTATTTAACTTAAGGGTTTGGGCGGGTTAGGTTTAGGGATACTTGAGGCTTAGGGTTCAGGTTAGTTTTAGGGTGACCTTTCACGGGTCGTGGCAACCAAGTTGGCGGCTGTGCCGCGAATTGTCTGAATTTACAGAATGACTGAGAATGTCAAATTCAACTTTAATTTGACTTCACAATAAACCAATTGACTTAGTCGTAGTCTTACGAAATAGTCCTATACATACTTTATTATTACATAGTCATAGTAATGAATAAATTATAAAATTATAGTGATACTTGATGATAATCATACAGAACATACTATAATTTATATTAAGTGTAACACTAAACACCTTCTCCCAACATTGCAGTAACGGCAAATGAAAATACTGATGTTCCTTCTTTAGTTATATCATTATTATGGATAATACTATTAACTAATTTTGTGGCTGAGCCTAGTCGCTTATCTTGCTTAAAGTCATTACTTATAAGTGATATATTTGAAGTAGAAATAAAAGAAGAATTATATTTAAATTTACAGTCAAAGACTTAGCAGAGTGGTTGGTTCCATTCATATCGATCAGGCAGAAACTGAAAGAAGTTGAAACAAAACAAAAAAGATATTATAATAAACCGTATTAAAGTATAATGCTGCAGAGGGAAAGAGAAAGCAAGGAATCATTTTAAAAGGAACTTGATTACTTAATTTTTAAAAAAAATGGATAGGCCTATCTGCTTTGAAAATTCTCTAAAAGAGTTGGCAGAAGTGGAAATCAATTGTTGCCCAATACAATATTATATGCAGGACTGCCTAATAAATTTTCTTTAAAAATTCAGGACGTTTCTATTTAATTATACCTATGCTTGGTAAGGATTTTTGTTGCAATGTTGAAGAAACCAATTTTTTATAATTATAGCCATCTTGCTGTGGAAAGGCTATTGGAAAACTGTAACCTATATCTATATGCTTTGTCATGATGCAAGTAACTTATCTATCTCACTGGTACCATGGATAGTTAAAATATTGTAATTTTATCAACTTAAAATGAACCATAGCAATAAAAATCTAAAAATAATAAGAAAGCATCATCCATTCACAGGTTTTGTCTACTGTTTCAGAGGGTTCAGATTTTTAAAAATCATTAATGACTATGGAGCATGGCAGTGATGCTGGGGAGACACTCTACTGTGTTTGTCGATCCTCAGATTGTGAGAGATTTATGATGTAAGCTTGATTCTTTTAAAGGGTTTGCATGCTTCTCTTGTAAAAGGAACATAATTTAGTTATAATATGGTATATTTAAGTAGTAAGAGCTTAAAAATTTAAAAAACAACTTCCTCCTCTCAAAATAATTTCTTGCTTTCACCTCCTTGAACAGAGGCTGTGACCATTGTGAAGAATGGTACCATGGAGACTGTATTGGTGTGACACAGTTGGATGCTAGATCAATCAAACGCTACTATTGTGATGCTTGTAGAGGTACAGTATCCTGCTTTGAAACCTTTAGCAGTACCTTACCAAAATAGTAAAAATAATGTACTTTTCATCTCTCTCTTTCTTTAAATCCCAAAAAATTTTCCAGAATAGATTATAACTTGTTTCTTTAAAAAAAAAATCATTGGTCAATAAGAAGTACCATATCTTATATTTTTAAGTATTAATCTGCTTTAAAGGAAATAATAATTTTTAAAAGTTACAGATACAATAAAAAGAGTTGCCTTATATCATCAGTTGTAATATTGATCAATATGAACATTATCTCAGCACCAAAATTTATCTTTAAGTGACCTGAAAATTTTAAATAGTTAAATTTAATTTGATGCATTTTTTTTAACCATGATAATAATTTTCCCCATTAGCACACAATCCCAGTTTAGAAATACAATACAAGAATAAAAAGAAAGAGAGACATACTGTGAGTGAATCAAGTGAACAAGACAAAGTTGAAAAAAAGCACAAAGAATATAGGACTAAACTTAGGGAGAATATGGTAAAATTATTTGTCTTAATTTTAGGTTTGCTAATTTCATCCTCTTTGAAAAGTGTTCCCTAAAGTATCTTTTCTCACACTGTGGTACATCTAATATTGGTTTTCCACTGCTTTGTTCCAGGTGGGAAACAGATATGTAACAAAAATATGTATACAGATCCCAGTGTATTTATCAAGCTTGCATTACACAACAAAACAAAAAAAGTTACATTGTGATGTGGTGCATAGATTTTTTGTAATTTATTTAAGTGGTACAAGAATACACAATTTTGAGAACCCCTGATTTAAAGAATAACTTGAAATTTTGTTTGTGTGTTTGTGTATACAGTATTAAAATTTGGCATGGTTGGTGGTGAGCATTTTCCATCTAATCTTGTAGGGACATGATTTATATTTGATTTTAAAAGCTCAACATGTAGTTATCTAACAATATGTTGTTATTTCTCAAATTCATCAGTATATTTAGGTTTTCTTTTTAAATATACTTCTCAATCACCCATGAATTAATTTTTTGTCATAGATAATATTCTGAGAAAAATAAGATCTACATTTTCCAGAGTTGATGACCTCACTGATATTTTTAAGTAGCTTTATAAAGGCTTCCATTTTCCTTGTGATGAGTTTTTATACATAGTTCTCCTTTATGTGTAAATGATTTATTTTATTATTGAAACAGTCTTTCTAAAGCTTTACTTATGGTGACTTTGACAGAAAGGTCAAGAAAATCATGAGTAAAAGTTGGCTATGGTTTTAGTATTTTAATTTTTGAAAATTGTCTTTGCAATTAAAAATATATTAATTAAAAAATATTGTATAGGGGCTTAATATTTTAAAATCCTTAGATGGAAAAATAGAGGATTTTTATATGTAAGCTTTGAACTTTTTTTATTTATTCAGTTGGCAAAAAGTAGAATGACTCGAAAATGTGGTGAATGTAGTGCTTGCCATCGCATTGAGGATTGCGGAAGATGTGACTTTTGTAAGGTAATGTGTGGTACCTAATCTTTTCAAATCAATTTATATAACCATAGCATCTTAAAAATTGTTTTTCCCTTGCAACAGACGAGTGAATAAAATGATTAAAAAATGTTTCCCTTTTATACAGCAAAGATGTTAAATACTGGTATAGATCGAAACAAATGCCCTGATAATGCAATGAATTTAGTTTAACATTCTAAAATACCCTCTTTAATTTACATAATGTTTTAAATTATGACTTTCAAGTTGTAGTTGTGGTCATTAATAAAATATAATTTAAAAAAAAAATAATTTTTTGATAAATATTAAATTAACTAATCTAATGGGGGAAAACAATTTAGTGACCCGTACACTCTTTTTAAGGATATGAAAAAGTTTGGAGGCACAAACAAGCTTCGACAAAAGTGCAGACTCCGACAGTGCACTAGTTATGTGAGTAGGCACAAACACATGGTAAAAATTTTTGCTGATTGCCTAAACAATTATTTAAATTGTTTAACTTTAATTACTATTGGGAGTTTTGGTATTCATTGGTTTTATGATGGCAACTTTTGGCTCGTCCTTTATGGTCAGTTGAAATGTTAGCGACACATAAAATGCTGCAGATGTTTTTAATACCCATTAATACTTATATTTAATGACAGAAAAGTTTAAACTTAACTATCACAGTGCACGAAAGATAAATAGCAATTATCCCCTGAAAATACATTGCACATTTCTAGCCCCTAGATGAAATTTTGAAGTTCTTAATTATTACACAAATTTTTGTGTCTCAATAATCTACATTTATGAAAAAGCTGAAAAAAAACATTTTCTCATTAACTTCATAAAACACAGGCAAAATTACATACATTTTCTGCATAACCTAGTCTTCTTCCTCAAATAACAAATTTAAAATATTTCCTTTCAAATATAAAAAAATTTTGCTGTTTCTATTCCTACTTTTATATTACACCGATTTTATTCTTGAAATAGGGTTTGTCATTATCAGAGAAGGGGTCAGTCACAGGTGGAGATACACCTTCAGAGAGAGCAATGACAGATTTTTCTGATTTTGAGTGAGCAATTTATAAAACTACAACTTTAATTTTCTTTTAAATAAATAATTCATACTTATATAGCTGTATCACAAATAAGGGACTAAATCTAACCTGATTTGTCTTTCTTGTAAAGGATTTTCTAAATTTTTTTAACATAAGTTTTTGTTATGCTCTTAATGTAAACAATCTTTTTTTTATATTTTTACACAACAATTTATTTAGGAAAACAATGTATCAAATTCTGTCATTAAGTACAAGATGTTGCAAAATAATCCAAAAACCATTTGTCTGTTTTTGAAATGGTTAGGGACGACTTTGATGAAGAAGAGGCTTATGAAAATGTTAAAGTGGCACCAAAGAAAAGAGAGCGTAGGACAAGCTCTTCAGAAGCTTCACCAAAAAAGAAGAAAGAGAAAAAAAAAGTCAAGCATAAAGAAAAGTTGAAAAAATCTCCAGAAAAACCGCAGGTTTGTGTGTAAATTGGCCTTAGGAAGTTATGCATGTTAGTTTTCTTTGACAATCTTTGTTGAACCCACAATATGTTATAACAGTCTGTTGCCGCCAATACTAACATTAATATCATAAATGCAAATTACAAATTTTGTGTGTTTTTGTTTTAAAAGGGAGGCATGTCTCATAACTAGTTTTAATTCCTTCGTAATTGAAAAACAAGGTAAAAACTTTATGTATTCATACCTTTGTTTAAAATTTGAATGGAGCTGAAATTTTTGAAGGTGTTTTGTTAAATCATTCTTGTAAGACTTATAAGTTGACCCTTTAAAACAAAAGCCGCATATATTTGAATTATTCTTCATGAAAGTGATTTTGAAGATAATTTTGTTGGCATTACTCATGGTAGTGACATTAATGAATTGACAGTGGACCTAGCAGTTCAAGCTTACTACCCTATCAAGTACTAATGAATTTATTAGGCGTTAAATAAAGACATTTAAAGGTCATCAATAAATTGATTGTTTAAAAATTATATATAAAATCCCAAATAGCTTAACATTTTCTAAACTGAAAAAACTGAAATACATATTTTGATGATAAGCTGGTGTGAGTTAAAAGCAGAATAAAATTATTGTACTCAGTTTAAAGGTCAATGTCAGGTTCATCTTTAATGGCTCACAGAATTTTGAAATTCATACTGCATGATTTTCTTGGCCAATTTACTTTCAGAATATGTATACCATATGTTCCCCTGGTTTCATTTTGTACTAGTTTTTGATATTTTAATGATGTGCTTCAGAAAAAGTAACTTGACACTATGTGTGTTTATTGGAAATTAAAGTGTTAATTCTCAAAGATATGAGCTTAATGAGCAATACCTGTCCCATCATTGGATATCAATAATATTATTGTAGTATGCTTATTTGTATTGTAACTTTTAGCCTTATACCAGTGGTTCTCAAACACCCCCCTCCCCCTTTTTGGGGCATAAAGTCACTCCTCATGCTCCCCTGTCTTTTCCCTTTATAAATATTCGTGTAACATTTTGCGGACTCCTTATGGAAGTTGCATCCGGGCAAAAATTATCTTCCACCAAATACTGTGTTGAGAATGCAACAAGAAATTTATTCCAAAATGCAGAAAATGATAGAAAATATCCTACTATACTCAAAACTCTTGATACCATTTCTCAAATTTTGGATAACACTCAATATATTTTTTCTACTTCACCAACTGCGTCAATCAAATGGATTTATCATGTCTTTTGTGATATTCATGAAAAGAAAATCCTAAAATCACTCAGACTATTTTGTCTAGCGCATCAAAATGGTCGTAAAATGCTACAATCACATCCTTCTCAATTTTCTCTTCTAGCTCAGAAGAGTTTGGAAATAATAATGGGATATGTGTTTGTCATAAGCTTGAATGGAGCTGATTTTCATACCAAATAAAGGAAACTGATTTAGTTTTAAAGAGATCTCATTCCCCTGATAATGAAAATTAATTTTCATTTAATTAGTTTTCATTTAATCTACACTGTGTCTGAAAAAAAAGGGAACCCTTTTGATAATGATTGGTCAACGAATAGCACGTCTTGAAGCCTATGTTGAAGCAAATGGTCGATATTTCAAACACACTACTAATAAAATCAAATACTGTGTTAGAATTAAAATGAGTTTTATAATTTACCATTTGTTTTCATCATTTGTTCCCTTTTTTCCAGACACAGTGTGGAAAATATTTCTGATATTCCGGTACAAGCTATGTCTCATGCGATATCTTTGGAGTCTGCACCAATAGAGGCGATTGTGTGCCCCTCACCCCATAATTTTTTTTCATTGTTTTGCTCATTATAAAAGTTGATCCAAACTTTTATCATTTACAAAAAATGTATTACCAATAAGCAAAGATGCATTGTCTTGAAAGTCAACTCATCTATTGGTAATGCCAACGCTTTGGTATGCTACTAAAATGTATCTTCCATTTCCGCAGTCTTGTTACTCAGAAGTTAGACCATATAAATAGCTGGTAAGACAATTGTTTGTGAATTCCCTGATTTAGCAATTAGCTATTCAATGGTGTTTTCTTGAGAAGCAATAAAAATATACTTGTCAATCTTCGGCTCATTTGTAGAGTCCATTTACCACTGTTAAATGGTGTCATCTAATAGCGCCACGCTACCGATCAGTATTGTTGTTACCTATAGAAGCTTGTTACATCTTTGTAAAAATTAGGTCAAGAGCCTTGTCTTCATGGACTGTGGAGAAAAAGTGTATATTATGTCGATCCTGAATTTTCTTTGAATTCAATAATCATATTAGTATATAATCTTTCTTTAAAACAAGTAAAATAAAATGCATTTCTGATATGATCCTTCAGTGCCCCCTTTAGCAATCTCCTAAGTTTTTCAGTGACCCCCCATAGCTTTCAAACCACCCCCTAGGGGTGGTACCACCCACTTTGAGAACCACTACCCTTTACAGTATTTACAGAACCAAAACTATCTCTAAAATAATTGACATTTTTTTGAGAGAGCAAACTGTTTTCTAGAACCTGTTTTTAACATTTGTTTTGTTTCTTCTAATTCACTGTCAGAAATCCCGCCAAAAGTCAAGCTCACGCCGCCGTGTTGAAGTTGATGATGCCCTTGAAACAGATGATGACATGCCCCGACAGTGTTATGGACCTGGATGTGTTGAGCCTGCAAAAGTGGGCTCTAAATATTGCTCAGATGAATGCGGCATGAAACTGGCAAAGAGGTATTTACACAACTAAATTTAAAAAAAAAAATTATGACTTAAATTTAATTAATGGTCTTTATGTATTTCTTCAAATGTAGAGGCTGGCGGGTGTGTCCTTGCTTTCCTTGAACCCTAAATCCACAAATGATTTTAAGAGTGAAGTATTTTAAAATAATTAATACATAAATGAAATACCTTACATTATACAAATATTTTCATCAAAATGTTTTCTTAAACTCTAGCCGAATCTATGAAATACTGCCCTCAAGAATTCAACAGTGGCAGAGCAGTCCGTGCGTTGGTGAAGAGAATAACAAGAAAATACTAGAAATGCTTCGCCAGGAGACTTTAGATGCCAGACTTAAGCTGCGTCAACTAGATATGAAGATTCAGGAGCTTGATGCATTGGTGGACAGAGGAAAAAATCTCACCATGATAGCTGAGCAGGAGGTTGTCACATTTACATTTCTCTCATTTGTGAAAAACAAAATGGTTCACTTTTGGATGTTCATCATTGCAAGATTTGTTAGCATTACTAAGAAGACACTTGAGTTTAAGATTTGTACAGCAAATGTTCTTGTCTTCATTTGGATTGGCTTTTTAACCTGATTTCAAAGCATTGCTTTATGTAACCCATGGGTGGTTTCCCTTGGTCAAGCATTTCAAATTTGTTACCATTGTTTTCTTTTGCATAAATGTTGTCAAAATTTTAAGAGGGTCATATTTTTAATTGTAGGGTTTGGACCAGGAAGAAGACACAGAGCTTAGTGTCTACTGTGTCACTTGTGGCACAGAACTGAATCAAAAAGGCGCCCTGAGACACATGGAGAAATGCTATCTAAAGGTGAGATCAGCCAAGAAGTTCCTGATTTACTTGATGCTACTCAACATGCTATCTTTCTTCCGGGGCGCGTTCTGCAGGCGACTCGATAGCATAGTGCTTTTTTCATTGTTTGTAATGGTATTTGAGTTTTTTTTAAAATGTTTTCTTTGGAATCAAGGAGAGTTAAATATGTAAAATGTGCCTTGGGCTAATAATCTTGTGTTTTTGTCTTGAGTAACAGTGGTTAAATTGTAATTTTTGGACATCATAGGCTTCAGCGAACAATATTCACACCTCCATGTTGGAATCAAAAGATCTGCCATAAACAACCAACAAAAGGCAGGTCGACTACAGACATTATAATTATCTATGATCTTGGAAAAAAATCTGAGAACCCCTTCTGAACAAAAAGACAAGGCTCTGTTTAATATGCCAACATTAACTCAGGCACCTAACAGTTATTTTGACCACACAATTCTCCTAATGCTTTGCTACAGACAAATTTAGAGAACAACAAAAAAGGAGACAAGGTCTTTCAAGCCTGAAAACAATATGTGCAATGCAATGAAAAAAAAATCAATTTATTTGGATTAATAAAAGAATCTTCTCTCATCTTATTACTTATTAAGCATGAGTTATTAAGTACCGGTATTCTATTTACAAAACAATTTCACAAAAAATTGAATTTTTTGTTATCCTCTTCAGACAAATAATCTTTGTATTAACTTTTTCTCTTCTACAATATTTTCTACAGTTTGAAGCACAGACATCTTTTTGGTCATTGTACAAAACACGTATTGAAGGCAATTCTATGTTTTGTGACTTCTACAACCCCCAGCAGAAAATGTATTGTAAACGGCTTAAAGTGCTTTGCCCAGAGCATACAAAGGAGCCAAAAGTAAATGGATTAAGCTTTTAATTAACCCTTTGCAGACTGATCTGCTCAAAAACATCTTAAATTAATTTTTATGTTTATTTTGGTATTGAATACTTTGATGTGCTTTGTGGGTGTTATTTTCTGCAGTTATTTTTTAAAGCCTAATGAATGTTTGCAGATAACAAATTTTCACATTAATTTCCTACTTTAATTATATTATTTTGTGATGGATAATCTTCAAATATTTCCTGACAGTTTAAAAAAAATAATAATTTACTAAGCATTCCACGATACACTTTTAAATTTTTTTTTTTATAATAAATGTAATGTTATATAAAAGTGTGTAATTGGATATTGCAGAGAATATTGATATAAATTATAGGAAAGGTTTTGTAAAAAAAAGACTTCTAAAATTATCATCCCATAGCCATTGTTTTCAATTTCAGTTTTTAAACAAATGGTCTAAACTCAACTGACTTCTTAACATATTCTTTAGGTTAGCCCAGATGCAGTCTGTGGGTGTCCTATTGCTACTGATATTTTTACAGAGGGAGAAAACTTGTGCAGAGCACCTAAGAAAAAATGTGTAAAACATTTTTGCTGGGAGAAACTGCGTAGGGCTGAAATAGATATGCACAGGCTCAGACAGGTTCTATTTGTTTTTATTATTATTTTAAGTCTTTACCTGCTATTTAAAGCTATACATTTTTTAATTGTGTTTGATTTTTTTTTCTAAACAAATGTTATTGACTCATTCCAGATTTTCGCCACTAATCCCTCATTACTTTGTTTCTATAAAATTTACCTTATTGGTGCTAATTTTGAGCAGTCCAACACTCGACAAGGGCTTTCTATTATCACTTTACTAGATTGAAATAGAGATTACTAAATTTGGTGCTAAGAAGAATCTAAAAGTAAAAGTATGCTTATTTGTATATTCAAGCAGAATGTCAACATCTTCATATCCATCCATCCCTGTGGCGCTACAGCCCATTTAGGGCTTTGGCCTGCCTCACCACTTCCTTCCACTCAGACATAACTAATGCCTTTCTTTTCCATGCTTGGACTTTCAGCTGCTGTAGATATTTTTCCACATCAAACATCTTCATATCATTCTTATGTTATATTATTCTGGGCTAGTAAGTAATCTTTTTGATCAGTTTCAAAAACCAAAATTATTTGTTAACAAACTGAACCTGTATTTCCTTACAGTGGATGAAACTTGATGATTTATTTGAACAAGAACGCAACATACGGATGGCCATGTCCAATAGAATGGGAGTGCTAGGACTCATGTTGCATCAGACAGTTGACCATGATCCCATGACCCCAATGAAATCAACAGCTTCATAGGTACAGAGTTCCCAAATCACAACAACCACATTACGCAATCACTCATACAGACCTGGTTACTCTTACAATTTTGGCATACGATTTTGAGATGTCTTTTATGATTTTACACCAACCCTTTTCAGAACTAGTATTTTAAGAGATTGGGTTGAAAATATATATCCTGTTGTTTTTACGATTCAAACGAATAAAAAATACATTTTCAGTTGTGCCCTAGGGGAGGAGGGTCTAAACATTTAAGGCTATAAAAATAAAACCGCCACATTTTTGTGATGATGGTCATATCGTTGCTTTGTGTTTTCATATTGAACTCACCAGATATGGCAACAGTAACTGGTAGTCACCCTTGTGAAAACTTTAATATCACCTTTTTTTGCTTCTGTGCTGTATGATGTAATTTTGTGACATAATTATTCACTCAACTGAACTGCGTGATTGTAAATACTGAGAAAAAAATTGTTTTTTAAAAATGAGAATGCATTGTCAGCTGTTCCACACAGCAACATTAGATTTCTACATATTTTATAGGTTCTAAGAGAGCCTTTGAAATCTATCTAGACGCACAAAACAGCTGTACTATTTGGTACCCAGGTCTGGGTCCATTTTGACTCAGTGCTATTCGGATGTCATTTGTGGTAGTTTATTTTTGTTAAACTGGATAATTAAGTTTACAAACATATAGTCCATTCAATTATCTTTCATTTGATACCTCATTTTGTCTCACAAACCCAAAAATAATAATTTTAAATAATTTTTAATCCCAACCTCTCACTTCTGGTACCCGGTACGAATAGCCACTTCGTAAAATTATACTAGAACTAAAAGTGTAATGTTTCCTTAGAAACATATATACCTGGTATATTCATTTTATGGAGGGAGTTGGTCGGCTCCTTTTACCACATTCATTAGTAGGGACATAATGTTCTAGTGCAATTTTCTTCCACAGCTAACTATTTTAAGATGAGAATTTGGAACTCAACGTCAATGCACATCAAATCTCTTAAATTTAAAAGAGTTTCCCCAATTTATTACAACAATTCTTATTGGGTGCGTAGTGTAGAAAAGATTAAGAAACCCTGTCTTAAAAGAAATGCATAAGCAAAATTTTATGAGATGTAGCTCCTTATTGTATAAAATAAGATTCAAACCTTTTTATCTCAAATTTTCTATGTGAACTTGATTTTATTTTTCAGTATTGGTGCAAGTGCTTCTCTGCACTTATAATATAAGTTATATTTATATATTTTTCAAATCTCCAAGGCAATTGGAACAAAATAAAAGAATTAAGCTTACCAATAAATAAACTGAAGAAAGTAAAAAAAGAGGTGGCAAAACAAACAAAATATTGATTCTCCATTTAATTTTAATCATTTTTTAATCTTAAAACTTAATTAAAGTGAAAGTGAATCATATTTTTTTCACATGGAATTTTGCAGAAATATTTATTAATAGCTGAGTACCCGGTAGATCACAAGATTTGCCTCTTTTGTTTTTCTATTAAATTTAGGACTTGGCAATTGGTGGACTGTACAGTAGCAGTATATAAAATCTCCCAGCAAATTGTAATTGAGTGGAGACGCTTCTGGCAACATCTTCAATCCACTGTCGTTTTGGAAAAAATATAATGAACATAGTTCAAAGATGAGAGCTGTTTAAAGGAAATTTTGTAGTGGCTGATCCATTCTGAATCAATATACCGGTAATCATTTACTTTCTGCTTCCAGTACCGGTACTGGTTTTATTTTCAGATGTCTAGATTATGTTAAATAAATTGCATATAGTAGATATTTCATGCATGAATTTATAAAAGAATGACATGTTTTATCACTTATGAAGTCTAATAGGAAATTTAGACAACCAAAGCCTTCTGTTTCAATGGTCTTTTCAAAAGTTTCCACTAATCCCCCTCCATCCTTGGAATCTGGCAAAAGTGAACAGGAGTGAAACTCATTTTCTGCTAACATTAAATCCATCAAAATCAGATAAACCAGATTTAAACGCATTTTTTTTGGAACTGAAGCAATTTATTTGCCACCTTATGAAGACAGGTAACAACCAATTATTGAACTATTCTTAACTGCATTTATATTCAGAAACAAAAGAACAGGTTGATATTGTTCTTTGTCATTTGGATATGTTTTTATTATACATTGTAAAAAATTATAAAATAAATGTGAACAAAACAAAGTTTGAGCTTTACATTGTGAAAATGATGTCATTTAATAAATTACACTGTCACCTTGTCTTAAAAGTCTTAAAATACTTCATGAATTTCTGTCAAATGGTTCAAATTTTTTTTTTGTTCATTAACATGACAAAACTGAAGCGATAAATAACTTTCCTATTGATAATGATTTTATTTATCCTGCAATAAAGTTGATAAAAGTGCAAGCTCAAATAAAATAACTAAATACAATGAAATATAAAAGAATCATCCAACACAGACAATAATATAATTGTGATTGACATCTATGCTCACATTATCACTTAAATCTCTTTAATAAAAATTGAAATACATGGAAATGGAAGATATATCATGCTTTAAAATCTCTAACAGATTGTTGAACAGTATAAATGTCATCGTTACTGGTAATGAAATTTCAACGCTATTGATTAATTAAGAACAGGCAAATGTTTTTGTTCAAGTGATGGCAAAAAGAGCACATTTTATACCAAGAATTAAATAAAATGTAGTTTTGCATACAGTTAAAACAGTTAAATGTAAATAATGTAGTGCATAACAGAAGTTCCACTTATAAAAAATTTTATTAAAAAAAATCGTATTTCCATCTTTGATGACAATCACAACACATTTTGTCAAGAAAAATGCATGACAAAATTAATAATAAAAGTCACTTTTTGAAAACTATGCGACATAACGCAAAAGTTGGCTTCAGATATGTGTATCATCTATTAGAATTTAGATCCAACAACTTTTAGCTAAAGTACCAGTACTAAAAGTATTTTTTTACCAACCATTGGACTACAGAGTTGTTTCATGGATGGAAATGTATAGTTACAAACCTTAACTATTAATAATATTAATAGCGTTCACTGTTACTGTTAACATTTTAAATAATAAAATCTAATTCTTAAAAAAAATTAAATTATAATTTAACTCATACATTAATGTCAATTTTTCTCAATGCCAATTATTCAAAATGTCAGTTAATTCAGTTATCATAAAAAAAAAAAAAATTATATGCAATGTGCATGGGATGGAGCATTGGAGTATGAACAACTCTGACCCCTTTTTGACAATCCTGCTAAACTCCACATAGGTACAAATATACATGCCTTGACCAGGCGGAGATAAAGCGCTCTGCACACTTTTTAATGAACTTTTTAAAAATACACCACACCCGTTTTTTTATATTTAGGCATTAACTTCTTTAATGCAACCTTTCTGTGCAGTATTTTGTGATCTGAAAAATAGGTAATCTTAACCTCCCCAGTCCCATTAGTTAGGAAAATCAACTGTATATAGTATTTCATAAAACATTCAAATAAATGTTCATATAAATTAATAAAGTAACATTGCACACAAACTTTTAAAAACAATAAAATAATGTAGATCTAGTTGATCATAACAAATAAAATAAGTTTTCTATGTCTTCCTTTGGCTCCAACTGATGAGCACTCACTGTTGATCATCCCGTAAATTGGCTGATTGCCATGGTCTATTAAAACAGTCCATTCTTTATTGATTCATGCTTTTGATTACATATAAATAATTCCACATAAACAACATACATACTATGTGCACATTTAGTAGTATTTTGAAACATGGAAGATGAATTTGGAATATTTAATTAAGTTGAATTGTGTATCTTCTAATTAAAAATGTATTCATCTAACAAGAATTAATTGGCTGTCATGAAAAAATGGTATGTGGTGGGGGTTGTAATTAATCACTAATAATAGTCCTGAGTTACTGGTACTAAATGAATGCATTATTGTGGTGATATGGTTAAGAAGCCTGCCTCTTGACGGAGAGTTAGGAGGTTGGAAGCTGTGGGAATAGAGGTGAGTTAAGTTGAAGGGGTGGGGATATAGAGACATGGATAGAGGGTTTGTTAATTTGATTTGGATCATATAAATTGCACCCTTCATTTTCTCAACTGGTTATTCTATTTGTATGTATTAAAACTGTAATTGTAACATATTTTTATTTTCAAAGTGTTTCCTTTTTTAAAAATGTTATCACTTAACAATGCTTACCATACTTCAAAGAGAGACCTCAGCTATTTTTAATAAAACTATATAAAAATAACCATTAGAATTCATGGGTTGCTGATGAATTATAAAAGAAAGGATTATAAAAATGTTCACTCAAAAATGATCTGTTTAAGATAAAGCTTTCTGAAAGGAAAAGTATAAATTAATGGAAATTCTCTTTCTCTCCTATCTTTGCTCATTTTATTTCATTGTTAATACTCTATAAATTCAGTAGGGTTTAGGAAACAAGCTACTGAGAAGACAAAATGACATCGGAGTACTGGTATAAAGTCCTATGGACAGAATTCTATAATTTAACATTTGGTTGCGAGTCTTTTTTAAACAAAAATAATAATATATGTGCACACGTATCTAGACGATTTAATAGAATTTTTTTAAAAATTCGATTTAATTATTGCAAATTACAATTTAATTGAATTTGTAATAATTATTTGTGAATCTTATTTTTAGAAGTAATTAAATACTTTTTCATTACTTATTCAGTTTAAATGCAATTACAATCATTTCAGCCAACGAGATTTTCTTTTTTCTTTCTTTTAGTAATTGTAACTGTCAAATAAAATTATTTAGAAAAATCTCCCTTCATAATGTACAGTTTATTTAAAATAATACAAATTGAACATTATAACCTGACATGTCAGGCACTCTAAATAAACTTAATTGTGCCTACCCGTATTGCATTTTACAGGAAGTTCCATCTTTTTATTTTTAAAATAATTTTAATGTGCGACCAATAAGTACCAGTTCTTAAAAAATTGCAATGTATACCATTTAAATCTGTCACCATTAATTCAATTAATGCTAAAATTGGTACTTGATTTTATTGCAAAGCTATTTAGTAATTACACACACTACATGAATTTCAAAGTCATAAAACTCCTTAAAGTTAAATACTTTTGGAAGTAAAAATAAAACATTTTCTTCAGTATTCTCCAAAATCTACATGTCCTGTGGCTTTGGCATGCTCAGCAGCCTCCTTCTGACCCCTGAGAGGCTGCTGACACGAGGAACATCTAAGGGAAAAGCCAGCCACATCAGTAAATTGACGAATTGATTTTGCCTCAGAAGCTAATTCAAGAGCCTGGGCTAAAATGACAGCATTGTGAATTGAGAATTTGGTCCTAACAGCACCTACCTGTTCTATAGACTCATAAACTAAAGAGTCATAATGAATTCCATCATAAATTATAAATACGCGTTCCTTATAAGTTTTGTCTTCACCAAATCTATCAACACGACCACTCTGAGTGTCAACCACTGCAATCTCTGTGTTATAATACTGTGATAGGATGGCAAGTTCAATTCCTCCTCCCCATGAATTTTTATCACGGATCCATCTACAGTAAGCGCTATTTGGCTTACCCAAGATGGCTTCTGAGTAGGTGGCAGGATCACTAGAAACTATGCCTGCTATAACTTCCCGAAGTTGAGGAGAAGCAGAGGAATCATAAGCACCATCATTCATCACCAGGTGGACACTTGTAAATAAGCAGGAATTATCAGCTGGAACAACTTTTCTGGTGAGTATTCCTGTTGCACCCTCCTCCAATTGATGATGAAGTAGAGTATCCAAGCGCTCATCAACTTGATTAATAGTTTCATTACTTATAGGGTTTGATTCATCTTCTTCCACAATGAGTGTGTCACCTGAACGAAAAGGTAATGTGGATAATTCTGCAATTTCATTGCTTATGTCAATAATTTTTGGGGGATATCCTTGACGTATTTTAATCCTGTTTTTTGGTATGTTTGCAGAATCAGAAATGGCTTGTTTTAGGCTCCCAACAGTAGATGCTAGAAAAAGACCATCTAAAAGTTTGTGTCCACTTTTTGTTTGAATTCGTAATCGGAGGTTCTGCTCAGACATTGTAATTTCTGAAATCGAAGTAAAAGTAAAATGTCTTTGATTTTTGGGTAAGGTAATTTGAATAAAATATTTGTGCAAGTCTGTTATGGATGATAAATTAAGTGATTGAAGTTAAAGCACACAGAGAAAATAATGAAAATTATCAATAAGAATTTTTGTTTTTTTAAATGTTTTAAACTTTTGTATTTTTTATACAAGAACCAAGCTGGACTACCTTTTTTTTACAAACATTATGATGGTTTGACATGCAACCCTCTTGATGTACCTCCTGATTAGAAAATGTAACTACATTTATCTCTGAATAGGCAGACCCATGACTCACCAATTTTTTTAAAGATTGCAAAGCCTCTTGATACTAAATGTTACTTCGGTAGCTTTTAATGGTGACACAAATAAGCTGTTGATTATGATTTAAGAAAATATATACACATCAACCACATGAAGTTTAAAAATGTGTGAAAAAGGAGGTCTTTCAAATAAAAGTGGAACCTTGCTATAACTATATAATGTAAATTTGGATTTAACCCAGACATGCCTTGGCCTCGAAATTCTAATTATTCATTAGCACATGCATTTTTTTGTTCAAAGTTAACCTGATCTGATTTTATTATTGCATTATAGTTATTCAGAGTTTCACTGTTTTCATTTGTAAATATTTTTATTAAAGTAAATATTACAATTAATGCTTTATTTTTAACAAATAATTTTATAATTCAGCGGTAGCGTAAGCCTCTATTCTCTAGTAGAAATATTAGCATACTATATTTTGAAACTCATTTTCTAGAAACATAAAATTTAAAGTGGAACAAGAAGTAAATACCATTAAACACACAATCTTTAGATTATGGCTAAATTAAAAAAAAAAAATGATTGTTCCATTTAAACTTATACGTTTTATTTCTTTAGGACTAGGCCAAAATGATACAAAGTCAATATAATATTTCATTTAAAAATTGAAATCCTCTTGGCTTAAAAACACAAAATAAAAAAGACAAACACACCAAGTCATAGAACCATTTTCCCTGGTTTTTAAAGTGTTTTACAAACTGAAAAGTAACTGAATTTGATTCTTTGTGTTTAGTTTAATTAAACAAACAGAAAATATTAAGGCATTGCCTAAATATTTTCTGTTTGTTTAATTAAACTAAACACAAAGAATCAAATTCAGTTACTTAAGAGTTAAACTAATTATTATGCTAGTCATAGTTAATCAGCTGTATGCTAGGTATCACTATGTATGACTATGATCAATCAGTTAAAATTGAAATGTATATATTAGTTGCTTTTTTTAGTTCACATTAACAGCAGTAAACTTGTATTACATTGCAATATTTTAAAATATAGTCCCTGAGAGTAAGAGTCAACTGGGGGGGGATGGGGGTGGGTGTTGTTGGGCCTGGGAGTCAAAGTCCAGCACATGTACCACACCTGGCCTAGGAAACCATTAAACACATTGACATTACAACTGGCTTGCTGACAATATCCAAATATGTTTAAATTATAAAGCAGCCTGGCGTGTCTCATGTTCTATAAATACTATCACTAAAATAAAAATGGAATTTTCTACGAACTCCTAATTACTAATACTACTAAGAGTAAGACTAGGCCATAATTACTGAACTGTCATATGCATATAAATTATTTATGACAATAATGATATAGTCATATAGTTATATATAATAGACTATAAACTATAAACTAGTACAAATAAGACTAAACTGGTCTAATTAAAGAATAAGAAAGGGGTAGGCTAACCGGCTTAATTTAAAGTTAATTAGGCCTACATCTACCATAAATAAATAAACTCGTACCTTTTAGTAGATGTGTTTCTACAACATATAACATAGAAATATAATTAATAATTGTAATAATTGATAAGCATTGTGATTGTTTTTGGGTGTAGGTTGTAGAGAAAGGTAGAAAATGATGCTACCTAAATGCCGGAAACCATAAAACGTCATCAGAAATGGTGCTGAGCCTGGATAAACCCTCTCCTCATTTCCCCTATCCCTCAATCCTCCTTTCCCCTCTTCTGAATAAAACATATCGAAAGTTGCCCCGTGGTCTAAAGAAGCGTTTCCCAAATTTTAAGTTTGGCGTACCAGTGGATATTTTTCGAAAATGAATGAAGGACCGGGGCCAGATTTAATATTAATATATTTTCTTTAATCGACCATAGATTAAGATATTCATGCACGTTGTACTACGGACTGGCAACGTAAGGTTTGCGGACCAGTGTTAGTCGGTTGACCACTATTTGGAGCACGCTGGTCTAAAGGATTCAACATTGAGTAGGATGACAAAAAGAAGACGAAATAAATCCCCTTCAATTTTTGCCATTAATTTAATTATTAAAAAAAGAAGAAAAAACAGACCGCTTATTTGGGGTCGTCCATTAATGATGTCAACAAAATAAGAGGTGGGGGTGGAAATGTTTGACAATTGTTGACAAGGGAGAGAAAGAGGGGCGGGGGGTGTAGATTGATGACGTCAACAATCATGTTTTCTCTATTAATTTTTTTAATCTTAAAATTGACTGGTTATTACATTATTTTAACACATTTATTGAGTGTAAATTAAAATAGTTATATAATTTTATTTATATAAAATTTTAACTTGTTGATTAACAAGCCGAAGATGCAATAAAATGTTTTTCCTACAATCTTTTGCTATTAAAATAGATCAGCACAAAGTGTAAAATGTATTTAGATTTTTATTTTATACTATAATTCATTTTAAAAGGGGGGGGTATAGAAATGTTGACATAATTACTTCGGGGGGTTATTGAAAGTTTGACAGTTGTTGACAAGAGGGAGGGGGTCAAAAATTTCCCAATGTTTCGCCGTATTTTCATGATTATTCCCCAGATCCCAAGTGGGGGTAATAAATTCCCAAGATATTGGGAAATGTCCCAATGGATGGCCCGCAGTCTATTTCTAAAAAAATCCATGGCTAAATGGAATCAAACAAACTAGCTCTTTCTTTTAGCATTCCAAAGAGGATTTCCGCAAAATCAAAATGGTACGAGCAACGGTTCTAATAATGTGTAATTTAGAGCCGACCTACGCGGTAAATAAACGAAGTAAATAAATACAAATAGATTACAAGTATACCAATAATGATAAAATGAATCAGAAAATAAATTAGTAATGTATAATTTATAATTTATAGTTATAAATTATTTTAGAGGATCTGCTTTTCTAGGTCTTGGCAATAATTTTTGGGCTTAAATCAGACACACTTCTACGGAATTTGAGAAACTCTTTAAAAAAGTTTTCTATGTGTACACGTTATCATTAAATTCAATTCAGCTGATTCACAACTTTTTTTTTAGTCTTCTTAGGTGTTGCATGACAGAAACAACCACACAACAACACCTCATGATTTACTTTTTGTTGATGTGCCGTTAATATAAGTACTGTTCAGTGACTGATGTCTGTTTACACTGTTGTTTAAAAAATGCCTTACATATCGGGAGGTAATTTAATTTTAATTATCTTGATTCATTGTGATTGTGAGTGTTAGTATTATTACAAGTACAAGTTACTTACTTTAGTCTTAGTCTTTTAGTTACCGTCAGTGAGTTGAGTGAGACTGAGTGAATATTAGTAATTAGTAAATAAAATAGTGTGATAGCTTATAACTTATTATTATTTATTATTAGTAATAATTTATTACTTAGGCTTATAAACTAAGTTAACTAAGAATCTAAGTCTAAGAACGTATTATTAATTATTAATATTAACTTATATTATACCTATCTTTTTTACAATTTTTAGACTATGACTAATTAATTTTAAAAGCAATCCAGCATTATTGTCATTGTATGGCATCTTTCCGTCTGCGGGAGACGATAGATTATCATTATAGCTTGCAGCTCTTGGTGTGGCTGGTGAGACCAATCCTCGAATGGCAGTCTCTGTTACATTTCCCACACACGAATGCGGTGGAGCAGTATTTACCGGCTTTCCTCCTCGCTCTTTTTGCAGTTGTTTCCGCCCTGCTTTGATCCTCGGCATGTAGTGATCCTGCCTTCACGATGCCCCGCCATGAGGATCGATCCTCGACCAGCTCCTCCCATGAGATGTTGATGTTGGCAGACTTCATGTCTCTTTTGCATATGTCTAAGTATCTCAGACGAGGCCGTCCAACTGACCTTTTCCCTGTCGCCAGCTCGCTGTATAGCATGTCCTTTGGCATGCGACCAGATTGCATTCGCTTGACGTGTCCAAGCCAGCGGAGGCGTCTTTGAATTAACATGGCTGGGACGCTACACATGTTTGTTTGGAACAGGACATCCGTCTTGGGGACTTTGTCTTGCCATTTAATGTCAAGGATGTGGCGCAGGCATCTGAGGTCGAAGCCATTGAGCCTTCTTTCTTGTTTAGAGTATGTGGTCCACGACTCGCATCCATACAGAAGTGTGCTCAGTACGCAGGCCTGGTACACCTGCAGCTTAGTTCTTGTTTGAGTTTGGCGTTTGACCAGACTCTTTTCTTCAGTCTGGCCATAACAGTTGCGGCCTTCCCTATCCTCCCACTTGTCTCATCCTCCATTGAGAGGGTGGTCGATATGTTGGATCCCAGATATGTGAATCTGTCAACAGTATCCAAGTCGTAGTCGTCGATGGCGATAGTGGGGAGGGAGTCAGCATCCTGTGCCATAATGTTAGTTTTCTTTAGGTTAATTGTCAGGCCAAACTCTTTGCAGGCAGCGGATAGGCTGGATACGAGGCTCTGCAGGCCGTCAGCTGTGTGAGATACCAAAGCGACATCGTCCGCAAACAAGAACTCCCGCAGCAAGACCTTTCTTGTTTTAGTCTTAGCTCTAAGGCGGGCAATGTTGAATAATTTGCCGTCATCTCAAGTGTGGATGTATATCCCCTCGCTATTGTTCTGAAAGGCATACTGGAGTAGGATGGAGAAAAAGATTGCAAATAAGTAGGAGCCAGCACGCAACCTTGCTTTACTCCACTACTCACTGGAAAAGCTTCTGAGGCGGCATCGTTATAGCACACTGTGCCCTGCATGTTTTCGTGGAACTTCTTGATGATGTTAAGGCAGTGGTTCTCAACCTTTCTAGTGCCGCGACCCTTTAAATACTGTTTCTCGTGTCGTGGCGACTCCCAAGCCACACAATTATTTTCGTTGCTACTTCATAGCTGTAAGGATATATGTTTTCAGATGGTCTTAGGCGACCCCTGGAAAAGGGTCCCGCGACCCCTTTGTCGCGACCCACAGGTTGAGAACCGCTGTGTTAAGGAGTCGTGTAGGGCAGCCTATTTTTTTAAGGATCTGAAACAGGCCGCTTCTGCTGACAAGATCAAAAGCCTTAGTGAGGTCGACAAACGCAATGTATAAAGGCATATGTTGCTCCCTGCACTTCTCCTGTCATTATTTAAAGTTAATTACTAGGCCTGGTTCTAAATTTTAAATTAGGCCTACTACAAAACTACTAAGTGAGTTATAGAGACATAGACTTAGTCTAAATCTAAGACTTAGTGTAAGTCTGTTGTCTGTTGTTATCTTTTCAGTCAAAGTTGACACTGTCACTACTGTCGACTGTCAGTAATAAATAAAAATGAGTTGACAAAAAAAAAAAATCAAAATAAATTCTGAAAATTTCAATTATTCAAGTTTATTTTAGTCTTAGATCTTGGTGTTACTATTAAATCAATAGTTTATTATAGTTATAGTATAGTTGGTTAAAAAAATTAAATATAAATGAAAGACACCACAATTAAATTTCACAAGTTAATGAATACTAAATACTGTAATGTCTAAAACATTCAGTTCAGTGACATTGATTGCCAAACGTATCCTCAAAAGAAAATTACTAATACTAGCACAATACATTAAATATAAAAAGTTCCACATCATATTTTAATTATATATCCCACATGTGAACTTTGCAATCGCTTGCATCTATCAACTGAATATCAAAACTTAACACTTCATGTTGAAAGTTAGATCATGTCATACTTATTCAGTCTAAGTCTTAGTTAATTTTAATGGCTCAAAAGACACTAAGAAATTTGGAGGGTTACCAATACCGCAAAAGCAATAGTACAGTAATACTTTATGCCATTACTTACTTTTGATTTTTAAACAACAAAAATATACCTTAAGTTTCCTGCCTTCAACATACTATTTTACTTGCTTTCATTTCTTGGGACTTGTGGGTATCACTCTTAATTGTGAAGCATAATCAATGGACATTTGAAATATTGGATGAATATATTTTTTTTATTTCATTATTTGTATTTTTCCTAAGTTCAGAACCAGACTCAATTCTAGATGAAATGAGATTTCTTTCATGATTTTCATTATTATTATTTATGAGTACTATTAACAAACAAAAAACAAATTATAATTTTGTCTTTACAAAAAGTAAAAAAAGGGCTCATATAATATCAGTTCACTTTATCTAACAAAATGTTGTACCCTAGGTTGATGGCTTGACTGTAATAAATGTATTAATATTAAATAAAAAAATTTAAATAGTTTTTTTAGCTTGGCTCTAATATAATCTTAATAAAAATATAAAAATAATTTTTCAAAGATTATTGACTTTGACTAAAGAGCTAAAAGATTTAGCTTCATACTACAGTTGTGCTATAAAATATCTGATAATTAAAAATGTTGTGTAAGCATCGTAAACGAGAAAGAGTCCGACAGATTTACGGCTCTAGATTGTGTACTCCACATCGCCATAGAGGTAAAATAATGAACTATGTGCCTATGTAATATTTCAGATTAAAACCTTTTGGTTTGAATTGTATTTTTTCAAGACTTTACAAACAAATACACATTTTTAATGAAGATAGGTTTTGAAATTAAAATTTTTTTAATCAAAATATTTTTACCGATTTGATTATTATTGAAAATTAAATGCTTACATGTAAATATAATCTCATGAAAGTCGTGTATTCAATTATTGAAAAAATGATAATTTTTTAA